AGCTTACCACACAGGAAGCAGATCTTTCATAGGATGTGCCTAATAAAGCCTCCCCAGCACCAGAGTAGCAGGGGGAGGTGGTCAGGATCAAAGGAACGTCTTTGATCATATAGTTTAAACTAAGACTTACAAATTTAAGAAACACAATGACAACAATTAACAATTTGACTCCAACACCCCGCCTGCTTTCTTTTGATTGGGCAGCTTGTGGAAGCCTGCTGAGGGGCTACGTGTGCTTTGTGGGTGCTCAGTGCTGTAGAGCTGCTTCGAGGGCCGGCGTCCTGCAGGTTTTAATATCACCCTGGGCCAACACACCTGAATCACATGATTAGTTCATCATCAGGCCTGTGGAGCACTGCAGGACATGTTGAGGTCATGTAGCCGTTAAATCAGCTGTGATGGATCAAGGACACGTCTCACACCTGCAGGACTCCGCCCCTGAGGCCTGCAGTTGGACACCTGTGCTGTAGAAGATGACTGTATGTCAGGAAATCTGTGACAGTAGGAAACACACTCGAAGCGTTTGGCTTACAGGGATTTTATTTAGTTTGCTGCTTCAGTGTTTTTATCACAGAATGAAACATTTTTAATATTTATGTGAAAGAAATAAGGATTATGTCTCCTTTAACTCCTGTAAAGAAAATTCAAAGGTTTGAAAAGTCGACTTCTGTTCCACGTGGAGGTTCAACACGCAGCCTCGGCTCACAGGACCAGAGCGTTTTACATTCATGACAGTCTTCTGATCTCTCCTGGAGGCAAACATGAACGAACATATAAATATGTGTATGTAGGACAGCGTCTGCGTTTAGAGACGCTTCATTGGACTTATAGACGAGCAGCTCTGAGTCTGATGTGCAGGACTCCTGCGTCTGCTACAGTAAGGATGTAAGGATGTAAGGATGCATCCTCGGCGTGTGTTTGCACGAGCGCAGATTCCTCAGATGTGTGACATCAGAGGCTTTCTGTGCCCGCTGACCGACCGAGGCCGTCACACCACACGACCATCGCTTCTTTCACGTCGCTGCCTGACCTCACTCATTATGGGATGTCCTGTTCACAGGGATCCCTGCCAATTCCCATCGTCCGCTGCGGGCGTTTCACGGCAATCTGCACAACAATCAGTTTGCTCTTCAGGCAGACGTCAGCGTCTCTGAAATGTTGGCGTTCGTGACGTGAATCTGAGCCCCGTGGGAGAGTTTGCAGAGCTTCACTTTTAAACCACGAAGAACTAAAGAGGCTTCAAAAGGTCTCAGGGTGAATGTTTACCGCCACATTCACACACACGAAGTGTTTGATTTACAATGTTGGTTTGCACTCGTGACATTAACGAGCTCGTTTGGATTCACGTCATAAATGATTCAAAGCCTGTGAACACGAATACAGGGCAGAGACAAGAGTCAAAAAGACTGAACGCAAAATGAAAAGAGCGTTAATGACGTCACGTGCACACTCAGAGACGGAAACTTGTTTAGCATTAATGTTTTATTTATGACACTGATGTGTTGTTACGCAGTGATTGTGACGTATGTTGCTCTAAGGCAGGAGTGGGCAACTCCAGGCCTCAGGGCCCGTGTCCTGCAGGTTTTAGATGTGTCCATGATCCATCTCAGCTGATTTAAAGGCTAAACGACCTCCTCAGCATTTCTTGAAGTTCTCCAGAGGCCTGGAGTTGCCCACCCCTGCTCTGAGGAGTTTATCCTAATGGGCATGTCTGAACAGAAACGAACACCAGGGGGCGCTGCAGTCTGTGTGTAGACTTTATTAAAACTGCACAGATGTATCAGGATCTTTCCCAGGTAGTAAAATGAGAACAGCACGTGACATTTTGCACCGTGCAGTCGTTCAGATGCAGATCCAGTGAAGTTATGAAGCGGACTGTGTGAACGCTGCAACAACAACATCCACCTGTGACGCTGTCTGGAGCTTTCACCTGCAGAAATCAGGTTTACTGAAGCATCATCGTAATAGAAGCTACGTGACAGCTGAAGAGGGCGTTGTAGGTTTCTCCTCCACAAAATCAGCAACTTTCTTCCTCCCGTTGAACTGTCTGCTCAGGTGAAACACGGGGGGACGCACACTTTAGTGCTTTA